CTTCAAAACGATCTTAAGAAACTTTCCGACACTTTAAAACGTAATTCTTTTCCTTCGCATATTATTGAAAGAACTTTCAAGCGGTATCTTGACGGGTCCTCCTCTCAAAATAGCCGGAACATTGATGACAATAATACACGTTACTTTAAACTCCCTTTTGTCGGCTATTATTCTAAAATAGCGAACCTTAAACTCCGACAACTCACTAAGCGCTTTTGTAAATCGGACCTAAATATCAAACTAGTTTTCACTTCTTTCAAAATTAAAAACATGTTCAGTGTTAAAGATCGTACTCCTGATGCTCTAAAATCCATGGTAGTTTATCAATTTTCTTGTGCGGGATGTAATTCCCGTTATATTGGCGAAACTAGTCGCCACTTCTCTACTAGGATAAAGGAGCACACGGAAAGCGATAAAAACTCGCATATTTTTAAGCATTTTAACACATCTCCTTCTTGTAAGAACAAATACTCCCTTTCTTGCTTTAGTATTCTGGATTCTGCCAACAACTCAATTGATTTAAAACTCAAAGAAGCTTTTTATATAAATAAGATCAAACCTGAACTTAACAAACAATTACAGCATTATAATACTTTTCTAGCATTTTAGTTCACACCTTTAATTTCATGGTTGTTGTCACGCTGCAATTAGTACCCGCTTTTGTATTACATCGTACTGTAAATATTTTATTCTTCTACTTGTCTGTCATATAATTACTCGTGTTCAGTTACTCATTGATTGAAGATGGCATAAGCATGCTGAAAGATGTCTCTAAAAAAAAGTTGTATATTTCTACGACCTTTATTATTATTGTTATTATTTATAAACTTGTGATGAAACAAGTTTAACTTGTAATACTTTTCTCTCACTACTATATTTTAAGTTAACAACTTTCATGATGTAACTTAGACACACTCTGCACTCTGATTTGGTCAAAGATCTGTTGCATATTTGCCTGTATATCCTTTGGAAACTGGAACATTTTCCCATCCATCAAATGGCACCACGTGGGATTATTAATTTATTAATTTGGATTATTAATTTGGAGTAAACTAAGAGGACTCTTTGAATGCACATTATTTGAAATGCAGTTTAATTAAATGGTTGCTCCCAGGGAGAGATGACAGGATGTACCTAAATGGAGTACCTAAATGGAGTACCTAAATGGAGTACCTAAATGGAGTACCTAAATGGAGTACCCCTGAAAATCAAACAAAATACTTTATAAACATGGTAAATTGTTTAGATGTACATATCATTTTTATTTTGAGCTCGCCAGCTCTCTGATTCTCACAGTTCAATACAGTCCAGTTATTTGGGGGGTGGGGGCTCTAAGCCTTACTGGTTCCTCCATTTTGGTTTTACTACTGTATAATGAGTCGTAAGCTTATAGAAAGTGTGGTTTATTGGTTAATTAATAGCTCAGTAATGGTGAACAATGTTTTACTTGTTTTAGAAGGCAAATACTATGTACATGCAGATTTATGCTTTATGTAGCATATGAAACTTTCATTTTAAGTTATGTTGCCCGCACTGATCCACGTGATGTGGCACGTGTGGAATCTAAAACGTACATTTGTACGGAGCGCAAGGGAGAATCCATCCCAGCAGCAAAGGATGGAGTTGAAGGCCGGCTGGGTAAATGGATGAGTGTCAAGGACATGAATCAAATACTTGGAGAAAGATTTCCAGGCTGCATGAGAGGTAACTAGTAACTCACCCAGTATGTATGGACTGATTTCACACTTTACTTTCTTGTCTGTTCTAAGGAACTAATCTGCAAGGTGATAAAAACACAACAGTCTTGAAGTGATTTCCTTCTTATCAATTTTCCATCCAAATTTTGTCAGACTTGGTACAGTGTTAATAGCCATGCAGACAACACCGGTTATTAAAGACATAAGAGACAGGTGCAAATTTTTTATTAGTAGCACACTACCTAGCTAGTTGCATCAAAAAAAAATATCAATGCACAAGCACTCCCCATGCCTGATAATGATGCTCGGCAAGGATGTACAATGCTGTAGGAGCAGTTACTCTAAATGTCTGTCTGTTTTTTAACAGATTTCTTGCATCTTTGCAGGTCAATTCCATATTGAGCTACATAGAAGTTGTTGTATGATGTTATGTAACATTGTTTGGATTGATTATTTGACTTAAAGAAAGTTTTCTTTTGTTTCTCATTCTATGTTCCTTGAAATTTCAGGCCGCACCATGTATGTTATGGCATTCAGTATGGGTCCAGTTGGATCTCCTGTGTCAAAGATTGGCATCCAAGTCACAGACTCAGCTTACGTTGTCTGCTGCATGCGCATCATGACCAGAATGGGGAGTCATGTGTTCAAAGTTCTTGGAGACCATAATTTTGTAAAGTGTCTTCACTCAGTTGGTGTGCCTAAAGCTGAACAAGCTCCTGGCTGCAAGTGGCCATGTGACCCAGACAGGACTGTCATTGCACATTTTCCTCATGATCGTGAAATCAAATCATTTGGAAGTGGTTATGGAGGAAATTCTCTCTTGGGAAAGAAGTGTTTTGCTCTACGGATTGCCAGCACAATTGGTCGTGATGAAGGCTGGTTTGCAGAGCACATGCTGGTATGTGTTGTGAATTTGTAAATGATAGAAGTCAGAAGTGCATGAAGAGCACATAGTATTTCACTCGAGATTAAGAAGCTTTGAGAAATAATTTTATCTAATCGTGGATTCTAATTATAATAGGAAGGTTTTCTCTTGGACATAAATGTACTTTTTAAACTTACATTGTAGATGACTATTCCTCTGTTCAGAACTCAGTCTGACATGAATACGTGCAATACGTGCAATAACAACATGGAAAGATGGCAAAATCAAAATTTGCTTTAATAACGCTTCATTTGTTAATTGTGATAAATTATACAATTAATGTGTTTTCCTTTCATCTTAAGATCATGGGCCTTACCAATCCCAAGGGAGAGAAGAAGTACATCACTGCAGCCTTCCCAAGTGCCTGTGGTAAAACTAACCTAGCCATGATAACACCAACAATTCCAGGATGGAAGGTTGAATGTGTTGGTGATGACATTGCTTGGATGTGGTTTGATGAAGAAGGACAACTGAGAGCGATTAATCCAGAAAGTGGCTTTTTTGGAGTTGCTCCAGGATCATCATATCTGACAAATCCAATTGCAATGAAGACTTTTCAAAAGGACACGATTTTCACCAATGTGGCAGAAACTAGTGATGGTGACTTTTTTTGGGAAGGTACTAATTAAAGTGTTATGTACATTATGTTTAAATTGAATGAAGGTAACAGAATAAGTCTGAGGACAGTCAAGGAATTAGGAAGACAAATGTCTTTGGAAACCAAATGTGGAAGGTTAATACTAGATCAATGCCATTTTATTTTCCTTTCCCATCTAAGCGAAGACAGCCTACCATTACCATTTTTGAGGGCAACTGTGTAAGACTTAAGACAAACATTCAGTGTTAAAGATACTTAAGTAATAGCCTGTGTACCCTGGTTACCACAAAACTCAGTAGCCTATCTGCACCATGGAAAGTAAAGGACTTTCCCTCCATAATTACTTAGTGGGTGGTGGGGGGATACTCCTGATCCACATCCAAAATTTAGTGGGTTTCTTTTCATTACAAAATTTGATCACAAATAAATCAAATAAAGCATGACTTGTTCAGGCTGGAAACCAAATAGAGCCTCCATTTTTCCAGGCTTCCATTTCTGCAATTTCCTCAATAGCAGTTCACCTGCCTGGAGGATCATCTCATTATT